ACCTGTTAGAGCGACGGACAGGCGACGGCGTTCGAGGAACGATGGTAGCCCGCGGTTGACGTCCGAAGTAAGCTGGGCCGGTGACGGTACCACCGGAAGCAGTGGTAGTCTTGGCCCGAGTCCGTGAGGAGATGAGTGGTCCACGCTCCGGAAGCGAGGACAAGACGTGCACATATTTGTTCGCTGAGGATGCAACAGAGGGCACCAAACGAGATGCGACAGAGGGCAGCCGCGGGGCAGAGCCGACAAGTTCGGAAACTGCGAAGACTCCCGAAGGTCGCTGATGACCCGTGCAAGTAGAGGACGAAGGTGGTGAGACGTCCATCATCCGTGGGGCGTGTCGACGAAAGTCTCCAAAGTCGGAAGGCTGTAGTGGTGGGGGCGAGAAGACTCCGGCAGAGCAAGGAGGGGTGAGCCCACCCAAACCGACGTCCGGCGTGGAGGACGAGTGGTAGTGAAGCCCGCAAGCTCGAATGAGAAACACACCCGCGTGGTCAACACCATCAATGCAATCCTGGCCAGTCTTGTCCGTGTCTTGTGCCGGCAAAGGCATCCGCGAAAGAAAATCGGCGTTACCATTCGCTGAACCTTTCCGATACTTCAGCGTATACGTGAAGTTGGACAGAAACTCGAGCCATCGTTGCACCCGTGCGTTGTGTTCCCCCACCTTGCCGATGCTCTCTAAGGCTTTGTGGTCCGAGTAGATGACGAACTTGGTCGACCACAGATAGCCGCGAAGGCGTTTGATTGCCCAAACAATCCCACCAGCCTCCAGATCCAAAACGGTCCAGTTGCGCTCCGCAGGGAGGGTAGCACGGCTGATGTATACGATGGGGCGCACGGAGCCATCCAGCTGTTCTTGTTCTAAAGAGGCGCCGAAGCCATCGATACACGCGTCAGAGCATAACCGGAGAGGACGGCTGTTGTCTTCGACCGCCGCCCAATCAGGAAAAACTAGAATCGGAGGGCACGTGAGTTCGCTCAACAACGTCTTGACAACTTTGATCATGCTCGGGGTGTACTTGAAGAGGACACCTTGTTTGAGAAGGGCGTTGAGGGGCCGTACCTTGGTGGCGAGGTTCTTGAGAAACTTCCTGTAGTAGCTGAGTCCACCGAGAAGGCTCCGAAGCTGTTTGACATTCGTCGGCGGTGGCATGTGTGTGAGCGCTCGAACCTTGACGCCGTCCGGGCTAACGCCTGCCGGGGAGATGGTGTGTCCGAGGAAGTTGGCGTGAGTGGCACCAACACGAGCTTTCCCAGGAGACAGCTTGAGGTTGTACTGGCGCAATCGTTTAAAGAACTCGATCATGTTGAGCACGTGTCCCAGAGGCTCCTCATCGGAACAGATGACATCGTCCAGATACGCCAACACTCGGTCCAAGCCATGTACAACACGGTCGATTGACTTTTACCTGAATCGGTACACCTTCGCATATGGCGTCAGCTGGATACTGGTTCGAATCGTCTTGGGTGCACACTTTTTCTCCTGACTTGGATATTTTCCCATGGACACAATGTGTGTCAGTCCTGAGAACTCCTCTTGGAGTCGATCGATCCTACAAAGAACCTTGTGACACTTCCATCGAATTACCCATCCTGGCCACAAGAGGTTCCCAGTTGAGGGTAAATTCTGTGGGTGGAGAGTGTTAAGGAGGACCCGATTCGCAGGGTATCCGTCGATTGACTTTTTCCTGAATCGGTACACCTTCGCATGTATATTTCTAATTTATTTTCTGGTGCTTTCACTTCCAGAGACAGTTGAGAGCACTGTGTAACTGCCTCGAGGATGCGTGACCATTTTTACACAACGTGGTGCGATTGTCCCCTTTGCGCGGAGTGAGGATTGTCCACCCCGCACAACATGACCTACTCGACCACCATTATGGTTACCGCCGAAAAAAAAAAATATAAAAAAAAAAACGGTAACCTGGTTGCCGAGTTCACGAAGCGAATTGGCTTGTTTTACAACGTCGCTTNACAACATGACCTACTCGACCACCATTATGGTTACCGCCGAAAAAAAAAAATGTAAAAAAAACAACGGTAACCTGGTTGCCGAGTTCACGAAGCGAATTGGCTTGTTTTACAACGTCGCTTCCAAGCGACGAAAACCCAACCCCGATGGCAAACACCGGGGGGGACGGGGAAGGGAAATGGTTGGTCACAGTTGGCACGGCGTTGGTCACGAGAAAAAGTGAGGGCAGACTGTGATATCGTGGGGTACAGCAGTGCTTTGATAGCTTTGATGAAAACTGGTTTTCCTGACCTCTGTCGTCGTTGCTTGCATGTATGGCCGGCGGTGAATCGGAGTGAGCGGTACCTAACGGATTCAGCTCTGTACATGGCTGCATGCACACACCTGGATCTCGAGAGACGTGCAACCGAGTGTGCACGTGCTCGTACCAACGAGGCGGCGCTCACAGAGGCAGCGTCAAATCTGGCGACTGCTTTTACGCAGATTCTCTCCATACTGCGGTGGGATCCACCACCCCTTCGCACCGTCAAACACGCTCACACCTGCAACTTGTAGAGCAGCTTGGCTGGATCGTTTCCCATGGGACAGCAGTTCGGGAACATATCCCCAGCCCCGGTGTGGTGCACGTTACCGTGACACGGCGCGTCGGCGAGGAGGATGCAAAGGCGGATGTTGCCCCTCCAGACAAGCTCCGTCGCGAGCTTCAACCCTCCAGCAACGTCCTCCGGGAAGTCTTGGCCTGGACATTGCGGCGGTACATGAGGGGACGGGTTAGAACCAGGGAAAGTATTATCATTCAAGAGAGGTGTTCAGAGAAAGAAGCGGGGCGGAGAGGGGAAGAATGGGGAGGCGACGGAGACGAGGAGCATTGCAGTGGCCGGGGTGAAGGCGATTGCGTGCACTGGTATACAATGAAGACCTCACAGGGGTTGGACCTTCGATTTACTCAAGACGATGGTACGCTGTCGTGTTCCTAACATCCCTGAAGGGAGCAGCCGTGGCTGCCGCCATGGACAGGCTAGGTGTGAAAAAGAAAACCACGTGAATAGCCTACATGTACGACATGTGTTTCAGCACGAACAAGTCGTGGTGCGAATGCATGCATGCACCTCCGTAGGCCTTGATTTTCTCGAGCTTTTTGGTAAGCTTGTGAAGATCATATTCCTTGTGGAAGTCGAACGACTCGTACTGCACGCTGTCTCCGAAATCACGATACCTGCGGGGAGGAGGGTGAGTTTTCGGAAGATAACCAGGGTCACGCACAACTTGCTACTACGGGAACGTGGTGCGGGAAGTTTTCATCGGCTTGGATCGGTTTCTGGCGTTCACTCACTCATGTTTCGCGACGATGTTCTACGATGTTCCGTAGACGTCGGTCGATCAATGCGCGCATAAATATCGACGCAACAGCTACCTGCCACAATCAACACGACTTGGTGCAGAGGTACAAGCGAATGAAAGAAGGAGCACGCTGGCCAGCGTGGCTACAGTGCTGAATGATCGCAACCACGTTGGTATCGACAATGTACCCAACGAAGGCAACTCGCAGGCTGAAATTGGTGACATCCTTTCTTGCCTGGTCGATGATGCCCAGCACCTTGGTTTTGGCCTGGACGATTCATCTTTGCATCTGAGAAGCATAGCCACCACGGAGGACAACGTGGTACATCAAGTCAAAGAAACGACTCGGTGTTGGGGCGTTTTGAGTTCGACGCACGTGGTGTGGTTCGTGTTCTGTCGTTTTTCTGTAGTGATCAGCTTTGAGTAACTCACGCGAACGCTCGCCGTAGTTTCGTTTATCCCCCAGCGGGATACCAGAGCTGCATCATCGAGGGGGAGGGGCACCCGTCAAGGTCAAAAACGTACAGCAGTCAGCCACAACGCTATGATCTGATCTGCCGGTCCTCAACGGCGAGCACGACAGCGTTTTGGTGTCGCGGTGGCTTCTTCCTCTCCAGACCGTGGTCGATCGCCGAGGATATGCCCTCGGGGTCCGCGCCCGCGCCAGGATGCAAGCCCAACGCTACCAATAGCTCGGGAGAGGCGGCCGTAGTTGCCGTCAGAGGCCAGACTGCGGAGCCCCAAGAGCGATGCCCGGGCAACGCTGGGGTCAATCAGGTCTCCCGTCCCAATGATGGCTTGAGTGTAGTGATCGATTGCCGCCGCGTGGAAGCCGCTTGCTACGCAGTGGGCGGCGCGCGCTTCCAACAGCCTCTGGCGGAGGATCCGCACTGGTGTTTCCAGCGGCGTCGCCATCGCCGCCCCCAGCCCCCCGGCAAAGTGAAAGCTCTCATAGGGCGCAATCACCAGCTCGGCCGCATCAAGTGCTTCTCCTGCCTCCCTAGATCTATCTTGCTGCTCTCGCTCCAGGGCGGACAATTGGAGGAGGTACCCGATACGCCGCAGGTCGGTCTTCGCGTCGCCGTTGTTCCGCTTTCCGCCGTTGTGTTGCCCGACGTGGGTCAGCAGGATGCACTGCTGCATCAGGTTCCTGGCCTCGTCGATGGTTTTCAGGTCTGGTTGTCCCCCGGTGGCGACGGTGCTGTTGCCCTTAGCTGTGAGGCACAGAGCGAGAATAAACTTGCGGTTAACGAGCTGCTGGCAAAGGGCGGCGTGTGACTTGTTGTCGTCCTCCTCGTCGTCGTCGTCGTTTACGTCGGCATCCGCGAGTGCGGCACCTTCACTCTTGACGCCTTCCTCGCACTCGGTCTCATCCACACCCTCACGACCGCCGCGGTGAGCGCTGCGGAGCAGCGGTGAAGCGTGGTTCGGTTGCTGGTTGGTGGCTGCGCAAAGCACCTCGGCGTCGTTAATGGCGAGCTCGTGGTTTGTGACGGCGTCGGCGACACTGTCCTGCGCCGCCTCCATGAGGGCCTTGGTTTGGGCCGGATTTACATCGTCCCTTGCCTTGGCGACGAACTGTCCGGCCTGCAGAGCGTACACGTTGCCCAGGTTGTTGTTCATGATGCTGACGCCGCGGTCGTTCCCCAGCTTCCTGAATAGGGCCATAGCCCCCGCGTAGATGCGCTGCGCCTCGGCGATGTTCTCTGTGGCCAGGGTCGTGTTGGCGAACTTTACGACCGTGGTCATTTGCTCGAAGGCATCCATCAGCTCCTCAACCTCGCGGGAGGACACGTCGTTGACCATCCAAGTCCCTGGCGCCTGCACCACGCATACACGCGCGAAAATAAAGGCGTGCGAGAGAATTGACACCGTTATCAAATGACTTGGACTCACTGCTGGGGTAGCAGCGCCTGTAAGAGCCGGGAGAATAGTGTGGGCACGTGCATCACTAGTAGGTGTGTGTATGCACAAATGCAATTGGCGACGATACAACGGGGCCCCTCGGCCGACCGCGACGGGGGTTCTCTGGAGAAAATTGATATTCTGTGCCTGCTCAAGGTCAAGTCGCAGCAAGTTGTGAGTCTCTGGTGCATGGTGTTCCTCAACTGGGGGACCGTGTATCCTGGTGAGTAGGTGTTGGAGCAACACTTTCTGAAACCCTTGCGTCATGCATGTGACGCTTGCAGCTGCAAAAGACTCTCCTCGATCCTGCCGAAGTGCTTAGACACAAACCCGGCTTTCGCTGCCACAAGCTTGAGTAGATTCGCCTGGTGCCCCATGAGAAAAGAGGGGAGAAAAAAGAGAGAGGACAGAGAGGATAAAGAGAAAGAGAGATAGAGAGAGAGAGAAGTGGCAGGCAAGTTCAGAACATCGCGGTGAGACTAGACAACCTTTGGCGGAGTGTTCTGCTCGCATGAATTTGTGGAAGCGATCGCCGACCGCCAAAGAACACTCAGATACGGACACCACGTATTTAGTCAATAGTTCGTGCCCGAGCTCAATCATCGCCTCCCGTGTGTCGCCCCCCCAGTCATCAACAGCCGTGACGGTCAAAGCAACCTGAAGGATGAGGTTGAGCACCGTGCCCGCCGCGACTGGAGAAAAAAGAGAAAAGAGTGGGGGAGCAGCGGAGGGGGGGGCAAGTCGTTCAAGCAAAGCCCGCCAAGATGTGATACCACTGGATATTGCGGGATACGATATGGTGGGTTATACCCGACGCATTTCCCAACGTGCCGTTATGCCGCCGGTGTCCACCTGCTTGCCCCCATGCCCTAACTGACCAGATGCGTATAGTTTGGAAACAAGGGCAACGCGCGCAGAGCCTGTCCATGCGAGGGTGGTTGTTCTTCGAACAACTGCTGTCTCCATACTGCAGTAGGTTATTGAACTATTCGACTTCCGTGTGCGTGGAGGAGCATGTTGTGCGGTATGCTGGGAGGAAGGGAGGAGCAACAGGGTTAGGGTCGACGGAGTTGCCGTCATGGACGGTTCAACATGCAAGGGAGATGGAAAAGCCATCGCGTTCCAATTGTACATGAGGGCCGCTTTAGACAGCAGCACTCAAAGGGCGTCCTTCGCATTGATTGGCATCAGAAGACAAAAGTAAACGGGCTCCAGCCAGGGCAAACGACGGTGTGGAAGGGTGCGCACACGGTCCAAAGATACCGTTCACCGGTTGTTTTCGATGATTTTCGGGAGGTACATATGTGCGCATAATGTTCGTGAGTCTGCGAACATTGCTGTTGGATACATGTGCTGGATGATTTAGTGTCACGCAGACTGGTAAGATAACCGTTTCATAGGGGGCACCGCGATGATTCACGGGGCCCCTCCTTGCTGTGGGAGCCGCTCTTTGAGCACTCCCTCTTTCGTCCGTGTGAAGGACGGTCGTCTACCTCCCGTGAAGTTAATACATCACCAAAACAGTCTCACCCGATAAATAAGTGGCGTAGGCCGCAAACACT